ATCTGTCATTTGCAACCCAAAGGGCCTCATATGGCTTGCTCAACTCTCCAAGGCCATCCAGGCTACACTTAGCTAACTAACCACCCATTAGATCAATGCTTTATAGGCCAGGCTCACATTAGAATTACCTCGGGAACTTTTGAAACACAATGGCACACCAGAAACTCTTACTTAACTGAATCCAGAGAACGCCCAAGCATCAGGTGTGCTTTTAATCTCCCCAGGTGATTTCCACATGTATCTCAGCTTGCACACCACTGCAGAGATGACCGATCCACTCTACTTGCTTATGGAATGGAGCATGTGGCAATAAGGTTGTGATCCTTACACAGCGGTCTTGGCATCTGGAGCGCTTGGTCCCAGCCCCATCTTGTTCATTAACTCTGTGAATGAAGGCAAATCTGTTGACCAAGTGTCAGGGTCACCACTTGTTAGCTGAGACTAGCTACTATTGCTCTGACCTCCTCATGGAGGTCTCATAGGGACCAGATGTGAAGGAACCTAGAACTCTAGGAATCCAACACCTCCTGGAACAGAGGCTTCGTGTCCACACCACACACTCCTCACGCAGTGGAAATGGATGCCATGGCGTCTTCGTATCTTCACTGAGATCAAGATGAAGCCTCAGGAGGGAGAGAGGACAAGTCCACCTCAGCAGAGGGATGCGGCACAGATGGGGCTCTAACCTGCAGTTTACACAGGGTGTGTCCTCATTTCCCGCCTCCCCCGCCAAAGCTCCTGTGGAAACACCTCAAAGATTCCTTGTCAACAGCCAGCCACGTGTCAAGGCTACTTAGTGATCAAATCAGCCTTTCTAGGCCTTTTCCTAAAGGATTTTCATATCTGTCCTTGTTCTCCCCTGGATTTTTTTTTCCACCACTCTTTGGCTTAATAAATGCCTTTCCAGAAGGCTTCAACCCGGCTGGAAGTACACTTGAACAGCAATTCTAAGTCCTTATTAGCTCTATAGTGATCAGGTGAAAGAATAATTGATCTCAATCAGGAACACCTGGTTTCATAATTACACAAATGATTATAATTCAATAATAAAAGTCAATTTAACTAACTTAATTCAGATTGCTTTAACCTCTGGCAGACAGTTAAGAAGTAAAGAAGCAAACTGGGGGAAAAAGGAAAAAGGAAAACAAAGCTCTGTCTAAATTGCCAGACCAAATAGGGCCCAAATGCAAGTGATTCATTTAGCCCTACCATAGCATATATTACTACTCCTGGGCCTTTGTTCACTATACTCTTCCTTTGTAGCATATCCTTTCCCCATTTTCATACTTCCAAACTCTATGCATTTCTTCCAGACCAAGCTCAAACAACACCTCCATCAGCTCTTCAAAGTTTTTTAAAGTTTTGGGATGCTCAGAGTTGGGAAGATATCTGTTTCCCCTGTGGGGCATGAGCAAAATGGTGCCCTTGGGAAGGAAAGTAATATTTACTAAGTGGCTATTGCAAGTCAGTCTGGCATTTCATGTAATTCTCACAGAGCTGAACAACCTGCTCAAATTCAAATAGCTGGAGAGCAAACAGACAGAATTTGAACTCAGACCTTCCTGAATTCAGATCCAGGTCAAGGCTAATTGCCACCAAGATTTGGGCATTCATGTCACCAGAACATCACTTATATCCCCAGTCTGCCAAGGCCTGGGAACACTGGAGCTCTAAGACATCCTGAAGAACATAAAAACTTCACGCTTCAAAGAACGCTACACAACTTGGGTGATCACTGGCAAGACAAAATAAGTTGAAAATGTCCAATTTTAAAAGTAAGGAAGAGGTCACCTTTACAGTGTAAAAAAGTCAATGGATGGATTCATTGTCAGTTTAGTTGACCATGGAACAACGTTGGCTTTCAGCCATTCACTGCGCCCTCCCACCCCCAGCCCCGTCGGTCAAGGCTCTTCAACAGGCAAAATGAAGGACCCAAGCAACAGGCATTCCTATCTGCATTGCCAAGAAGAGGTCCAGCTCCTCATGGTAACTTCCCCTCTGCGCTCGAAGAGTTGAGGCTGGGCCAGAATAGCTTCCCCATGACAGCGAAGAGCAAGCAAAAGCGGCCGGGATACGGGAGGGGCAAGGGCTCAGCTGCTGATGACGCTGGCTGCCCTTCCTGGGACTCGGGGCAGAGACCAGGCACACAGGCTGGGAGAGCCGCTCTATGCTCCTAGGAACCGTCGACGTGTGTGTGTGTGTGTGTGCGTGTGTGTGTGCGCGCCCCAGACGCTCTATGCTCCTAGGAACCGTCGACGTGTGTGCGTGTGTGTGTGTGTGTGTGCGTGTGTGCGCGCCCCCCGGACGCTCTACGCTCCTAGGAACCGTCGCTGTGTGTGTGTGTGTCTGTGTGTGTGTGTCTGTGTGTGTGAGCGCGCTCCCGCGCCCCGGCTCGTGCGTCGGGGGTGGGGGCCGGGGAGCGGGTCGGTCAGAACCGCCAGATAGGAAATCCCTTAGGGATGATCTAGTCCCACCCCCTCGTTTCCCAGAGCAAGTTGCTGGGGGCCAGAGAGGGAAAGGAATTTGTTCACTGTCACCGGGAATTTAGTGACGCAGGCTCCCCGTGCTGGGTTCAGTGTGGGACCCAGGCTTTCCTCTGTGTGCATCAGAAAAATCAAAATAATCGCAGAGCTCAGTGTTTTCCAGCCACTGGAAAAGTCTAACTTAGTGAAATCCTTGAAGCACAAACATTTGCTAATCAAAGTATTTTCCCAAGGGATACTCAGTTAAAGCAATATTAAGGGAAATAAAATGTGTACATCCTAGTGACCACCTACGCAGGATTTATATCACATTCTCGTGAAGGAGCATTAAATCAATGGCAGTTCTCACTGGCTGGGATTTGAACGGCAGGAAATTAGCAGGCGCCTTTAGAAGGATTTGACAGGCAGCCTGAAAGGCTCCGCATCAGGAGCCGGGAGACCCGCCTCCTCCCGCAGTTCTGCCTCCTAAGAGCCCATTGACCTTGGGCGAGTCTGCTAACCTCTCTCAAGCTCAGTTTCTTTATCTCCAGATTGAGGGTGCTACTCCCTGCCCTGGGTGCCACCTCCTCCAGGTGTGGAGTTGTTACAGGGTATTATGAGGTAGCCCTTTACATATTTAATGAAAATCAGTGTTTTCTAGCCACCCGCAATCTGAGCTGGTGACCAGCTACAAAAAGGACAGTGGCTGAGCAGAGCAGGTCAGAGGGTGGGTAAGAGGACCGAAGACCAAGTTCTTGTTGGGAGAGTTGTGTTTCATCTGCATCTGGGCCAGTGGAGCTGAGGGCTCTGACTAACTCTGTGGCCTTTGGCAAGCCATGTGAGTTCTCTGAGCATGTAAAACAAGCATGTATTAACTCATTTAAGTTGGCTTAAACTCAACATTCAGAAAACTAAGATCATGGCATCTGGTCCCGTCACTTCATGGCAAACAGATGGGGAAACAATGGAAACTGTGACAGACTTTATTTTTTAGGGCTCCAAAATCACTGCAAATGGTGACTGCAGCCATGAAATTAAAAGACACTTACTCGTTGGAAGAAAAGTTATGACCAACCTAGACAGCATATTAAAAAGCAGAGACATTACTTGGCCAACAAAGGTCCGTCTAGTCAAAGCTATGGTTTTTCCAGTAGTCATGTATGGATGTGAGAGTTGGACTATAAAGAAAGCTGAGTGCCAAAGAATTGATGCTTTTGAACTGTGGTGTTGGAGAAGACTCTTGAGAGTCCCTTGGACAGCAAGGAGATCCAATCAGTCCATCCTAAAGGAAATCAGTTCTGAATCTTCATTGGAAGGACTGATGCTGAAGCTGAAACTGCAATACTTTGGCCACCTGATGCAAAGAACTGACTAACTGGAAAAGACTGATGCTGGGAAAGATTGAAGGCAGGAGGAGAAGGGGACGACAGAGGATGAGATGGTTGGATGGCATCACCAACTCAATGGACATGAGTTTGAGCAAGCTCCAGGAGTTGGTGATGGACAGGGAAGCCTGGCGTGCTGCGGTTCATGAGGTCACAAAGAGTCGGATACGACTGAGGGACTGAACTGAAATGAACTGAACCCATTCAAGCCTCACAATAACCTTGAGTCAGATGTTATTGCTCTTCTCATTTTACTGGAGGGAACAGAGGGGTATTACTTGCTCAAGATCACACAGCTAGTAAATGATAGAATCAGGCTTTGAATTGGGGCGTTCTGGCTCCAAAATGTATACACTTGATCTCTACATTGAGTGTATTATTAATGATTTCCTGTGGCTGCTGTAATGAGTTACTACGAACTTAGTGGCTTAAAACAGTACAGATTTATTATCTTACAGTTCCAGAGGTCAGAAGTTCTAGAATCAGCATGTTGACAGAGCTGTTTTCCTTTTGGAGGCTTTAAGGGAAAATCTTCTTCCTTGCCTTTTCCAGCTTCTAAAGGCCGCCTGCAATTCCCTGATCCGTGGTTCCCTCCTCATGTCACTCTGCCATCTGCTTCCCTTGTTACATTTCCTCTCTCTACTCCGACTCCTCCACCTCCCTCTCATAAGGACCAATATGACAGGACAGAATAACTTCCTTCCCTCGAGGTCCTGAAGCATAACTGCAGTCTCTCTTTCCATGTAAGGGAACCTACTCAGGTTGCAGGAGTTGGGATGTGGACGTCGTTGTGGGTTCATTATCCCATCCACCAGGACCTGTTGCACAGATGAGAAAATGTTTGTAAGGTTCTTAGCCTCGAGCTGGGACCTAGTAGGTCTGGTGATACTAAAGATACGGATAACTGGTAAAAACTGATGTCACAGCTGTCAGGAACCAGTCTTCACTTATATGCAGGAAGGTTCGCACACACTGGATCAGATAATCCCTCCCACTTCATTTAGGTTGCCCCAGCAGCACACCTCAAGAAAAGCATTCCAGTGCAAGTCATCTCTTTGGGAGGCAGTCCCGAGAAACACGGAAAGTAAGACAGGCAGGAAAGGAAAGCCGGAGAGGGTGTTATCAAGCTACTTACCACCTTGGACACCTGGAGCTCGGTCTTGCTGTTGCCGTGAGTGACAGTGCAGAGCTCCGCTCACAGGTCTCCTGCCCAGCGGGTGACAGAGCTGGGGTGTGGGTACCCCGGGCCCTTGCAGGCTTTGTTGAGGATTGGTCTGGGGAGCAGGGGACAGTGGAAGTAATTCATCCGTCTGCATACTTGCCTAGGGAGCAGGCTCTGAGGCCCAGAGAGAGCCCGTGTGCAGGTGCTGGCGAGTGGGAGTCAGGCTGTGGACCTAAAGGGCTGAGCAGGGCGTCAGCAGTGCCTGCCCCTTCACCTTGAGCCCCTGGTCTCCTTCCTGCGGACGCTGGAGTAACTGCAGCCCAGGAACCTCCCAGCCTCAACGATGCAGAAAGGTGAGGAATCGAGGAGCCGGCCTCCGACCAAGCTGGCAGCAGGGAGGGCCTGGCACTGACACTTAGGAGTGGCGGCTGGTAGAGGACGCAGCCTGAGTGCTGCTCTGCGGGGCTCGTGGCCCTTAGGGCGAACAGGCGGGTGCAGAGCAGCCTAGGGGGGCGGGGGGGACAGTGGCCACGGTCCAGCTGATCCCCAAAGTCCCTCATGTTGCCACTTTCCTGGGAAGCTTTTATCCACCTCTTACTTTGACTGCCATGGGGGGCTATTGTCAATCTTTTGAGTAGTTTTTGTTATGTTATTAAGGAATTTTTCCCCCTTCTCATGGGTGTTTGGAAAGCTTCCTGGCTGTCTCTGGAGTGTTTTGTATCACATCTAAGCACACCTTTCTCCCAGCTACATGGAACATGTCTCTCTACTAACGTGCCATCCGAGTATCCTCCCCTGCCTTCCCTTCCTTATCCTGATGCAATCTGGCTTTTACCCGCCTCTCCATGGAAACGGTGCTCGTGAAGGTCACCAATGGATTCTGAATTCCCAAGCCTAATGACATGTCTCACTCACCCCGGCTGCAGTCAGCTTTTGATGTCATCACACGCCTTCTCTCTGCCTTCCGCCCTCTCCTCTCCCGCCCTGTCTTCCTTGGCTTGCCTTCTGCCTGGCTGCTTCTCCGTTTGCTCCTGAGTCCTCTCCCTCTGGCTGATCCTTGTTTTGGTTCCCCTGACGGTTCATCGCTGGCTCTCTTCTCTTCTCACACTCCTACTCCACAGGTTCAACGGCCATCTGTTCACCTGCAATGCCCAGATCTTTAGCTGTCCCCCAAGTCACTCTCCTGACCCCAAGATCCACATGGCCCTCCCCTCCCCCACGGTTAAGTTCCACATAAACATCATACGCGACAAGCCCCAGTCTGACCTCATCTTCACCAAAACCTGGGTCCTCCTCCAGTGTGTCCCATCTGGGTGATGACACCTCCCAGCCCTCACCATTACGCAGTACACTTGCCACATCTCATCACTCACCATGTCCCACCTCCGTTATTTTCTCATGACCAGCTCCTGCCTTCTCTGCTGCCCAGCTGTCTTATTTGTGGTTCAGGTCGTTGCCGCTGGGCCATGGCAGGAGCTTCCTGCTGTGTTCTCCTGCAGCTGAAATCAACCAGGACAACCCAACCCCTCAATTACATGCAGCAGGAAAGTGGGCCTCAGAGAGCGAGTTACAGGCCTAGCACCCAGGCCTCCTGACTGACGGCATAATGGACACCAAAGACAGATAGGCCTGTACTCGAAGCCCTCCTTGCTAACCGCTGTTACAGGCTGAAACAAACCACCCACTGAATGGCTTGAAAACAACACAGACTTACTACTTTACAGTTCTGCGGGGTCAGAAATCCAAGATGGGTCTTACGGGACTGAAATCAAGCTATCAGCAGGACTGTGTCCCTCTGGGGACTTTAGGGGAGAGCCTGTTTGTTTCCTTTGCCAGCTTCTCAAGGCTGCCTGCATTCCTTGTCTTGTGGCCCACTTCCAGGAATGGTATCACTCTGACCTCTGCTTCTGTGGTCACATCTCCTTCTCTGATTCGGATCCTTCTATCTCCCTCTTAAAAGACTCTTGTGATTACATTGGGCACTAGTCCCAGGATAATTACATCGGGCCCTTTATAGATAATGCAGGATGACTTCTCCATCTCAAGGTCCTTATCTTAAGGTCCATCTTGAAAACACTTCTTGCCATGTAACGTAACTCATTCACAGATTTGGGGGATTAGGATGTGGATAATTTGGGAGATTATTATTCAGCCTACCATACTAACTCTGACACCCATCCCCCAAAATTACATAATCTCTCTGACATTTTGGTCCCTCATCTGTAGAATGGAAGTGTATTCCCCTTCCACAGGAATGTAGCAAGTAGCAAAGGAGATAATGTGTCAAAAGCACCACACACACACACAAGTAGGTGTTTAACAAATGTTTACCATTAGCTATGATGGTGGGTGGGAATGGACCAAGGCATCTAGGAAATGTTCCTGAAAACCCTCCATCACCCCATGCCTGCTGCAGTACATTCTTCTGTGTGGCCCTGCTTCTCCTTCCTGGTCCTCATCATTTTTGGTTGGCTCTGGGGCCAGAAGTTGCCCAGGGATGGAGAAACAAAGTTTCCCCAGCCTCCCCTGGGAAATCAGAACCCAGAGCACCTGAGGAGGAGCCTGGGTGCTCCAAAGCACGCAGGCGCCCAGGTGCCTGAAGCTTACTCTGCCGCGTCCTGTCATCTGTGTTTCCCAGTCGATACATTTGTCTGGGGGAAATCGTACTTCTGAGGGTTTCCAAATAGTGCCTGGGCCATCTGTTCCCTTTGAATATCTCCCTTCCCTCAGCATAAGGAGCTCTAATTGATGAACCTTTGCCCTCATCCTTTTCACTTTTCTATGAACAAGCAGGGATGGGGACAGACTGTAGCTTCTCTGTTCCTCACGTGTAGCCTGACCCCCTCAGTGTGCTGCGCAGAGAAAGAGAAAGGGCTCAGAGCCCCAGGAGGCAAAGGCACAGTGACGCCGAGGGAAGACATGCTTCTTGCGGAAGGCTTCCTCCTGGTGCCTGAAGAATGGAAAACTGGGCGGTGTGGGCGGAAATGGGAAGCAGGGAGCCCAAGCAGAGGACAAGCTCCCGGGTAAAGGAAGCCGTGTGCGGGTGAGGAGGTGGGACCACCCCGTGGATCGGCTAAGCAGCGCTGGTCTGGGGACCACATCGTCTGTGACCATGTTCCTTTCATCCACAGGGAAGGCAAGAAAAATAAGGACAAAGAGCAACTTTTGAAGCAAGCTAATTATTCAACTTGAAGTTTTGCCTTTATTCTGCTACGATGTCCTCCTTGTGTTCTGGGTGCTAAAATGGTCGTCACAGTCATTGGCAGGTGGCAGAGTCATGGGTCTGGTCATAACTGTTCTGACTCTTACCTCCCAGGCACATGGGAGGGTTAATCTTCCCAGTTCCCCTTTCAGTTAGGTCCAGGCAAATGACGTGTTCTCACCAATGAAATGTAAGTCAAAAGAACGAATCACTTCCCGGCAGAATTTGTGAGAGTCAGGCAATCCCACTTTGCAGCCTCAGAGACTGGAAATGTGTCAGGATGCAGCCTCTGTCAGCCTGGCCCCCCCAGTGACCACAACCCTGCCAGCCTCCCTGGGCACATAGTGTGAGTGAAAAATAAACTTTGGCTGTGAGTCCTGGGGACTTGTTCCTGCAGCCCAGTCTGACTAAGAGGGTAGCTGTTTATTTTTCTCATATCTTTATTTAGCAAAATGAAATGTTGCCAGTCTCGTGTTGGTATTTCTTTTCTTTTTCTTATTTTCTTTTGGCATTTAACAGCCCAGGAAATGGAACCCCTTGGACATTCTGACACTCTTATAACTGGACCATGGGAGGTATTCAATTTGATGAGAACAACAGTTCTCAGTTCCGGGGCCACAATATGGGGCCCCTCAGTGCCAATCCAACAGGAGTCACACCTGTTTTATCTGTGTAATGATTGAATTAATGCACATGCCATGCTCCTGCATAGGATTTCAGCATAAGGAAAAGGTTTTATATATGAAAAAGAAAAATTAAAAGGTCGAGACTATGCTAGGCTCTGGGGACTTGATAATGAACAAGACAGACACAGACTTCTCATTTATTTACATAGTCTATGGTTTAGGGTGGTGCTTTCCTATAGCTCAAACGGTAAAGAATCTGCCTGTGATGCAGGAGACCAGGGTTCAATCCTTGGGTCAGGAAGATCCTCTGGAGAAGGGAGTGGCAATCCACTCCAGTATTCTTGCCTGGAGAATTCCATGAACAGAGAAGCCTGGCAGGCTACAGTCCATGGGGTCGCAAAGAGTCGGACACGACGGAGTGTCTAACACACACGTGGATTAGGGTAGGCAGAAGACAAGTAAACAAGCAGATAAAACAAGTGAAACTGGGAAAAGCACTGCTGAAGTAAGATTTGGAGGCTGAGGTTGAGAATAATGGAAAGGGCACCACTTTAGGCAGAGTGATCTGGCAAGGCCTCTTCTCGGAGGTCAGGCTTAAGTTGCAACCTGAAGGAGGAGGTGCAACCAGTAGGAAAGGGTGGAGAAGGGCATCAGGCAGGAAGGTGTGCCGTCCGCTCACGAGCAGAAGACCTGCGTGGCTGGACAGTGGGGCTGAGAAAGGGAGAGGCGGGAAGTAAGTGAAGGGTCAGCAGGACCTGGCCTCACAGTGCCCGCAGGCCACAGGCGGTGAGCGAAGGAGGGCATTCGTGGTGAGGCTGCCTGTCCCGTGGTGCCATCCAGTAAACACTCACAGCAGAGACCCTGGTGCCCATCACTCACTCTCCCAAACTGCCTACTCTTCCCCAACTCATAAACGCCAATTCCACTCTTTAAGATGCTCAGACCAAAAGCTATGGAGTCTCTATTACTCTACAGCTAACCCATCAGGGAATTCCAGTGCCTCTACCTTCAAATAGTACCCAGAGTCAGACCACCTCTCATCAATGCACGGCTACTGACCTGGTCCAAGATGCGAGCAGTTCTCACCTGGACTGGTGTGGCTGCTCCTTAACAGGGCTCTCTGCTTCCACCCTTCACCGGACATCCTTCTCTCTACACAGCAGACAAAGAGATCCTTCCAAACAATCCTTCCAACCATTTTCTGCCCCAAACCTACACTGGCTTCACACATCACTCAGGATAACCAAGGTCTAATCCATTGTGATCTGGCCCCTCACCGTCTCCCCAATCCCATCTCCTCTCTCCTCTTCTCCTCACTCACTCAGCGTCGACCCCACGGCCTTCTTGGGTTTTTCTGCCATGATCTTTATGCTTGCTGTCTCCTCTCTAAATCCCTTCCTCAGTTATCTCTTTCCTGTGGCTTGGTCCCTCCTTCACTCAGATCTGTCCTCAATGGTCACACTATCAGAGTGCAAATCTAGGTCCCCTCCTTTCCATCATTTCTACCTTCACACCTGTTCATTTTTCCTCATGAAATAAATCATCACCTGACATATACTTATGTTTCTAGGTCATAGGTTGGCAAATTTTTTCTATAAAGGGGCCAGATGGTAAATATTTTAGGCTTTGCAGGCCATAAGGTCTCCATCACAACTGCTCAACTCTGCCGATGTCATGAAAGCAGCCATAGACAGTACATAAATAAAAGAGCATGGCTGTGTTCCAATATAACTTTATTTACAACAAACGTGGCGAGCTGGATTTAATCTGTGACCACAGTCCACAGACCTTTGTTTAGGCATTTGTTGTCTACTTCTCTACAAAAAGCAAGCTCCAGGAGAACAAGGATTTTGTCTATTTTGTTCAATACCTTCAACAACATATATCAGCAGATATACCAGCATATCACAGCCTGACTTGTGATAGACAGTTCATAAATATTTTTTAATTAATTCATTGATTTATTGGTTGATTCATAAGCTCTTGGGAGAGCTTTGACTTTAAGGGCCTAAGTCATTTGGATTTTCTAATTTAAAAAAAGTTTGGAAAGAGTCTTTGCCAGTTTTAACAATGTTCGTGACTGTTGATTGACAGGTCTTATCTGCAGCCTGCGATTCTCAGAATGGAGGCATTTTGAGACAAATGACAGCCGCTCTTGCGTCTCGCTGTTTACTCCTCGCATAAGAGCGCTGTGTGATGCACATCGCACATCGAGTTGGATGTGTGATGCATCAGACTGTTGCCAACAAAAACACATCGAAGTAAAATAACCGTCTCTGTGAGCGAGGGCCTAGAGACGACACTCCAGATCCCCCCGTGGAATCAAGGGCCCTGCTGCGGCCCTGCCGAGAACAGTCACGGGCTGCACTGTGCTGTCGGAAAAGCAGAGAGGTCAGGGTCGGACGGAGTGTGTGGCCAAGGCTGAAAGGGTTGTGGGGGAGGGGAGGCCAACCTGAGCAAGGCTGGAAGGAATAGGTGAAGCCGAAAGGAGAGATGATTCTCATTTTCCAGGATGAGACGGACCAAGGTGTGAAGCCGACCATAAGCAGAATGTGCTCCTACTATAAATAACCCAGAGAGAGAAGGTCATTCCTTTGGCAAAAGCACTTGAATATGAGGACCTGGACTGTGGACAGCCTTGAAAGACAGTCTGGAGAATTGGTACCATCTGGCCAATGGGAAACCACTGAAGGTTTTGAGGAGATGGTGGTTATGATGATGGAAATTCATCTGCAATAAGGTTGAGAAATAGAATGAACAAGCAAATGGATGTGAATGAATGAGAGGGGACAAATCTCAGGCCAGGGAATCAGAACTGAATCCTCAGGGCACTGGGCAGCCACTGGAAGGTTTTCAGTAGAGCGTGATGGGACCGCATCTCTCTCTCTAGATGAAATGAGTGGGGTTATTTGAAGGAGTGGGGGAATTTTCAGGCTAAGGATAAGTTGGACTGCTGCTTCTAAGAATATCCCTCTTTCCTACATGTTGTCACACCCCTCATGTCCCGCTCCACACTGAGGGTCACAAGTCAGCGTGGTGTGTATGATTGCTGAATCGGGAAACCCTGCTCAGGCGCCACATGCTCTGTGAAGCCTTGCGTAATTTCCTACCTGGAAGGGGCCTTTCTTCCTGGGAGTTTTCACTCCTCTTCAAATGATCGCTTCTAACTGCACCGATGACTTTTTACCTTAGCCTCGGACTGTCTGGATCCAAACCATAGCTTTACATTCACTGCTTGCCAGTTCTGTGGCCGTGGGCAAGCCCCTTAGCCTTCCCAGGGCTGTATTTTCTCATGATAAAGTGGGGATGATAATAATACCTTTCTCCTAACGTCACTGTAAGGACTTAATGAGTTCATGTGTGTGATAGGCTTAGAACAGTGCCTGGAATGTAGTGAATTTTGTATAAGCAATGATTGTTCTTCTTATCATCATCATTATTATTACTATTTAAATTATATGTGCCCATGTGTTAATTCTTATAATAAATTTGAGTCTTTTGAGCACAAGGACCATGGATTATTCATTTGTGCATCTTCCTCAGATAGTAACAGGATGCATTTACATAGTGTGTGCTCAATAAATATTTGTAGAATGAATCAATAAGTAAATGAATGAATGGATGTAAGCTTTAGAATGGAATTTAACTACTGTGCTGTAAACAAAGGATATTTTGATATTTAAAGGAGAAAACAGACTATGTGGGTAACGGCAGGAACCTAAAAATCTACATACAGAAAGGGCACAGGGCAAGCCCTGCAGCATTGGGTATTCTCAAAATCCAACCCTGTGCCTTGATTTTTTTCATCTGCAAAATGAAGAATTGATAATGATCTTGAAAGTCTTCAATAGCCCTAAAGTTCTATTATTGGGATCACTAGATTCTTAAAACTTTTTTTTTTTTTAATGACTACACCATTAGGAATTTCCTAGAAAAGTCAGTGGAAGAATTTCTTTAATTGAAAAAATACTTCCAAATGACGCTCAGTACTAAGGCATAGAGAAAGATCGTATCAAAAATAGTGAGGGCTTGTGTTGGAGGTGAACCCTCCGCTGCCTCACTTTAATTAGGACTAACACATCAGGAAAAGAATTTCTGTCGGAAATACGTACCACAGCCACATTTACCCCCAAAGACACAGGAAGCTTGAAAACAAAAATCAAAGCTACTCAGAATTCTCCTGAGAAAATGAACAATGAGAAGCACCGGCAAAATGAGTCCACGCTCCCTGGGAAGCCTTGACTCTGCTCAATGTGGTCTGACATACTCTGCCGCGCCGCTTCCAGTCTTTTGGGGTTCAGCCTGAAAGGGGAACGCACTGCCGCTTCCGAAGATGTCTAGGGGCTCTGGCAAAGCAGGAGCCCCGGAACGGGCGGCCCATCTTCTAAGCCTCTTTCGGTGCCCTCTTCAAGCCTGGGCACCATCGTTCGTGTCACCGGATGTTAAATGCTCCGAGAATTGCGTTTATTCATCTCAGCACGCGCCCCCCCACCCCTCCTCCGCTGGCACCTCACAAATAATTGTCAAATGAATGAATGTCGGCACACTCTAGACTCTGGATTTGAGGAGTGCCGACATGGGAGAAGTTGCAGCCGCCTCAGTCTCGGGTCCTGTGGTAGTTAACCAGTATAAACTCATTTCTGGGTGAAAAGAAAGTGTTACCGCTCCGTCCTGCCTGCCTCTGCCACGCTATGGGCCGTAGCCCGCCAGGCTCCTCTGTCCATGGGATTCTCCAGGCAAGAATACTAGAATGGGTAGCCATTCCCTCCTCCAGTGGAATC